AGCCCTGGGTTCCCACACCTGCCCTCCGCGCACTCCTAGCTGGAGGACCACCATCTACAGCTGCATAGCCAGTGTGAGGCCAGCCTGGGCTATGGGAAACCCTGTCTAAGAAGGGAAAGGAACAGAGTGAAGCTCATGGACTCCTACTTCTAGAACAAGACATATGGGATAAGAGACTCCACTGGGGCACGGCAGTGTCCCCGGAGGACAGTGTGTGTCTGTGTATGGGTGTTTCCAACTGTGGCTGTGTCCCCAGGGCCAGGCAGTCACCGAGTCCTTGGTGAGTCTGGGGAGAGGCCTTTGGACAGAATGAGCTCCCAAGATAAAGCTCAGCCAAGGGAACCTAGGCCACATCACTTCCCCTCTGGGCACCGTTGTGCTCCTGGGCCACCCAGCATCACAGCCTGCAACCTGCCTGGAGCACCCTGGGTCCTTCAGCGCAGAAGACTGGGTCTGTGCCCCCAGTTGACCCTGCAGAGCCTGCCCCACCCTCTCCAGTGACTCATGATTTTCCATTTTCAAGAAAGAACAAACACATTTCCTTTGGGCCTCCTCTGATGTGGGGAGGGGAGACCCCACGTATCTCCCCTGCTTCACCCCACGGAAGTCAAGCTCAGGGCTGGAGACGGATGTTCTGACTCCTAGGCTGAGCCTCCTCACACCAGCCGTGGATGGAGCAGGTGTAGGTAGGTCAGGACACCTTGTTCAGAAAGTATTTACGAAGCACCTTCTGTTTACCAGGTGTGACTTGAGAACCTATAAAGATGGCCACTCAGGTGGCTTTGTGGGAGTCCCGGGGTGGGAGTCGGTCAGGAAGATGGAGGACGTGAGGTGGTGTGGAGCAGGGGAAGGGGTGCCCTGCCCCGAGAGCTGGGGAGGAGCTTTCCTAATACCTACCATCGAGGGTATGGCTGAAAGCAAGGCAGACCTGGGGCAGCAGATGGAGGAGAGGCTGGAGCCCAGGCGGCAGAGAGGACCCGGCAGAGTCTGGCTGCAGAGATGATTCCAGCTGAGGTGGACGGAGGCCATAGGAGGCCCTGGCGGACAGGTGGCTCCGCCCTGTCTCTGGGCCTCCTGGTAACAGAAAAGAGCTCTCCTGGGGGAAAGAGGATTCAAATAGAAAGCAATGAAGGCCATGGGGTGACCAGAGACTTCTGGGTGCTCCCTGAGGTCACACAGCAATGTAGGTACAGGCCAGGATGAGGGTTGTGGCCTAGCTGGACTGAAGCCCTAGAAGCTCATGGGTGCCAGACTTTGAATGTCCAGTCCAGTTTTTGTGGCTTCTACTCTGTGGACATTTCTCTGTATTAAAAGATGCTAATAACACATGACTGTTGGAGCCATTAATGAAACACAAATTTGACTGAATGAAGCAGTCATAGTACAGCCATTAATAAAATAACGCTAGGCTGGAAGAGGCTCAGACACGAGCATCCACTGACCTAGGCTACTGTGAACTCATGCTGCCAAGTGACCCATCCTCTCCACCCCTGCCAGCATTTTGGCACTACAAAAATCACATTATTGTCTTCACTTTCTATTTTCCATGATTTTGAGGGTGGAACTGAATCCCTCTGGGACCACAGTGATCTTTCCTCAGGCCTGGAGTGATGTCAGGACTTCCTGGACCCTGCCTGGTGACCTCTGCTCCCTAGAGAATGGCCATAATTAGCTGTGGTCCGGCAGCCACTTTCTCATCACCGACTCTGAAGTCTGTTCCCAGCAGGTGTCAGGTTGGGGATTGGCGGGTTGGGAGGACCTCCTGGCTTGGCGTCTGAGCCCCCCAGGTGGCTGTGTGACTCGTCTGTACAGTGGACATATCTCAGCTCCAGCCGTGGTCACTTAGGTCCCCACTGAAGTCTTGCTCCAAATCCATGGACCTTAGATCCCCCGAGGGTGACTGGAAGCCTGGGTGTCACCTTTCTGGGGACATGCAGGGCAAGGCCTGGGCTGCAGGGCATGTCTCCCACCTCAACCTGCCCGTTGGGCATTCCTGGTCTTTCCTTTGCCTGTGACGTGAGTGAGCCTCAGTTTCCCCTTTTGTCAATTGCGACTAGACCCTGTGACTTCTGGAGACTGCACAGATCCTGTTTCCCGGACCATGGGACCCACCTTCTGCTGGTGGGGTGGGGACATCTGGAGCAGCCCTGGCAGAAGGCCCTGCCGGCGGATGTTTGTCAGGGAGACACAGCCTAGCTATTGAAATGGTCCAGACGCGGGGCCTGGGGATTGTCAGAGCCGATGGGGTCATGCAAGGACCTGGGGGCTGGAGCTTCACTGCAGCGCTGCCGCTCGCCGTCCGGGGAAGCTCGGTGCCTTGCACAGTGCCTCAGTTTCCCCCACCTGGCAAAGGATTTGTCATTCCTGTTTCGATCTCTGGGGCGTCCTAACCCACGAATTGATCTGGATCACTGTGGGCTGTGGCGACCCTACCTCAGGGATTTCTCTCCCTATGAGGGGACATCCTCCCATCTCTCTGGATCACTGTGGGCTGTGACGACCCTACCTCAGGGATTTCTCTCCTATGAGGGACATCCTCCCATCTCCCACATGACTTTTTTGAGACAGGGTCTCTCTTTAAAGTCGGGGTGCACTTGAATTCCGCGGGTGTCACAGCGATGGAATGCCAGGTGTTACTCTGAGAGACTTTCAGACCGACACCGGCACCAACCCTTAACCAGGGCTTGCTCACATACATATATCTTTCCAGCACTCGGGAGGCTGAGGCACGAGGATTGGTATGAGTTTGCAATCTGCCTGGGCTGCAGAGTGAGTTCAAAGTCAGCTTGGGCTACCTGAGGCCCTGTCTAAAAAAATAAAATAAATAAACAAATAATCCATTAAATAAAACAAATAAATATATAATTAAAATAGACTTAGAGAGTAGAGTCGCGGGTATGCTGTGCCTCAGTTTCCCCCAGAGGCCACGGAGGGAGACGCATAGCGATGGGCGGGGCCTGGCCCTCTGCTCTGTCCTCGGCTCCACCCCGGAGCATCTAAAAAGGCCCTGATTCCCGGGTCCTGCCTCAGCCCCACCAAGCAGGGCCCCGCGGCGCCTGGCTCCCCCCGGGGGTCCCCACGCGGCTCCCCCGCGCTCTTCAGGAAGTTGCTGATGAACCAGAGTATCCGCCTGCAGCGCCGCTTCACAGTGGCCCATCCGCTTTGGTGAGGCGAGCGTCCGAGCGTCCGGGACAAGGAGTTGGGGGGACAAGCAGAAGCAGCGGCAGCCACCACGTTGGGCTCAGGCGTCGATTCGCCCGCGTCCCTCCTCTCTGCCCTGCCTCTGCCTCTCTCTCAGTTGGTGCCTGTCTGTCTGTCTGTCTCTGTCCGCTCCATTTACCGCTTCGACGCACGCTGAGGGGACCAACCCACTTGTGTCCCGACCCGGCCGACCTAGGGCGCAAGGGGAATGGGGGGCGCCGAACCGAAGTCCCAGCCCTCGGCGACCACACGGGACGCTGATAGATCTCGTGGGGGTCGGGGCTGGAGGTCGGATGGGGGCTTCTGAGGCAGGGATGAAGTTCCCAGGTTCCTTTCCGGGTTCGAATCCCGGCCTGTGCTAAGGAGTTGTGATCTCGTGGGCTGCGCATTTATTTACTCAGAGTCAAGGAGACTCGGGGTGCGTTGTCACCAGGCCTGTGCATTAATTTCGCGGGGACTGCTTGCCGGCTGAGTGCTGCACCAGAGACGGGTGGTCCCGCACCCAGGTCACACAGCCATTTAGTGACAGCTGGGAGGTGTGTGATCTGGGGGAGGAGCGGTCCTGTTCCGGACCACGAGCAACCAACCGTCTCTAGGATGTGAAGGGAGTGGCCTGTCTGGTACCCAAAAGTGAGCCTGAGGACCGATGGCAGGTCCTCAGCAGGTTGGACCTGAACGCGGGTCGGTGCCTCAGTTTACCCATCTGGCCTACCCGCCGGTGCCGTTCCCACAGTCAGAACACAGACCGGCGAGGTGCTGTTCGCGTCATGGAACTGTCGCCTGACCCCGCCAACCTCGGCTAAGTTTAGAGCAGAAACAAAATCAGCTTCTCAGCCCCAAGGAATCGCAAGCCAGTCCTTAACCCTCGGCGTCCAAAGGGTGGATTCGAACCCAGCACCCTGCAGTTGCCCCTGCCTCTATTTTTTCAGTCGTCCCAGGGTGGGACTGGGAAAGGGTTTTCCATCCTCAGGCATTGGGATGGCGAGCTTGGGGAGCTCATGGGGACCCCGGGGCGCCCTGGGCCTGGAGACACTGAAGACTGACGGAGCCCCGCCCATCGTGGCGTCACGAAACCTGACTGTGCGGTGCCCTGAACCCCCCCACCCCCGAGGGAATCTGGCGGAAAGGACGGCAGCTAAGCGAGGCCGGACTGGACCGAGGATGCACGAATCCACCCGAACTCGTCCAAACCTCGTCGGATGAATGGAGCCGAGGTCATCTGGCCAACTGGCCAGGATCCTGACGGAATGACCTTTGGGTCACCGCGGACGATCCCGTGACCACATCCCAAGGTCGCCACCTCCCTGATGCTCCCCGTTTCTGCCACACACACCTCTTTTTAAACGTTTATGTATTTTATGAGTGTTTCGGCTGAATGTGTGTGAGTACCACGTGCGTGGGAAGCCAGAAGAGGGCGTCGGGTCTCCTGAGGATGGAGTCACAGTTGTGAGCCATCATGTGGGAAGCGAACCCCAGTCCTGTGCAGAGCAGCCCGAGTTCTTAACGGCTGAGCCGGCTCTCCCGCACCCCACACCCCTTCTGACATCTAACCCCACGAAGAGGAGCACAGACCGACCCCGACCTCGGGGGCCGGGGCTTGCAGAAGCTGGAGGCCTCGGCAGGGGGCGGGGCCGGCGGGTGGGCAGGGCCCGGTGGGCGGGGCCGTTCGCCCTGGGCTCGCTTAGACTCGCCTCAGTTGTCCCATCGTTGCTGGTGGGCGGGTGCGGGGCTCCAGGGAGGGTGCCACAGTGGACCGACGCCTCTGCTCCCTGACGTTACCTCTCTGTTCCTGCCTTCAGCTTCGACCTGGAAAATGGGCTCGCGAGCTGCAGAGGCCCCTTGGACCTCCAGCCCCCTGGCCAGCAAGGCCAGCGGCGCGAGTCCTTCCTGTACCGCTCCGACAGTGACCATGAGCCTTCATCGAAGGCTGTGTCCCGGAACTCCTCGGTGGCCAGTGATCTGTGAGGCCCCTTCCTCCTTTTAGAAAATTCTTGGCAAGTTCTTCCCAGGAACCTCCAAGTGAGGTTTTGGAGGTTTGAAATAGGAGTTTCCCAGAGTGTTTACTGTTAACATCCAGCATATAGCGAATACCAATGGTTTGTTGGGGGCAGCGTGGTACATTAATCCGTGAACAGTAAGGTCAATCAGCTGCAGCTCACAAATACTTTTATTTTTTTTTTAATTTTCGAGACGGACAAATACTTTTATTTGAGCTCCCTAGTAGCTGTGACGAGAAGGGAAACAGTTACTTCTGTCCTGACTCTTAGACCCCTACTGTCATTAGGACTCAGTTTCCCCATTTTAGATGTGGATAATATGCTGGGGATTGGTTGGAGAGGTTATAGTTTTCTCTGGGAGAGCCAGAACCTGAAGGCCCGAGTCAGGAATCTTTAGAGGGGGGCTCTCTGAAGCCAGCGGATGTCCTCACTGGTGGCCTTCCTGCAGACATGGAGAAGACATGATTGTCACGCCCTTCGCACAGGTGGGTGTCCCCATTGCCCTCTAGCCACGAACACGCAGGGGGACCTGGGTGGCCTCTTACAGCTGAGCACCTTGCTTACCACAGGTTCTGACCAGTCTCAGAACGGTCCGCAACAACGTGGCCACCCTTGCCCATAACCCAGGCAGCGCCACCAGGTACTGAGAGTGTGGCGGAGGGACAGGACCTGAAGGTGTGGGGTGCTTTGGGTGCTTGAGGTGCGGGGGTGGGGAGAATGGGGGTTTGGATGGGTCTGGAGAGCCTGGAGAGATGGGCCCTCTCTGACGTCCCTGTCTGCGCAGGCAGCCACTCTTGGGGACCCCTCCGTGTAGCAGCCAGCTGGCCGCCCCCACAGGTATGCACCCTCACTTCCACCCCGAGGGCAGCTGTTGGAGTCTCTCGGCTCATCATAAGCCGGCTTCCCCCTAAACCCACCTTTATGCGGAGTCCGAGTCTGTTCCCTGCCATTCTCCCGCCCACGTTACAGGCTAGAGAGGACTGTGGGCTTGTCTGGGTCTCACAGCACTCGCGGGAGCTGTGGAACTGTGGCCCCGGGGCTCCAAGGGTTGGGGTGCGGAGGTGGAGTGGCACAGTCTCTCCACCGGGGGTCCCTCCCTGACCAGCCTGGCCTCCAGAGGACGCTGGGCTGCAGCTGGCGCAGGAGACGCTGGAGGAGATGGACTGGTGCCTGGAGCAGTTGGAGACACTGCAGACGCGGCGTTCGGTGGGAGAGATGGCGTCCAACAAGGTGAGGACCCAGCAGCCCTGCTCATCCCCCTCCCTGCTCATCCTCCTCCCTGATCGCCTCCTCCCTGCCACCCTTCCTGCTCCACAGTTCAAGCGCATGCTCAACCGCGAGTTGACCCATCTGTCGGAAACCAGCCGCTCAGGGAACCAGGTGTCGGAGTACATCTCCCAGACCTTCCTGGGTGAGCCGCCTGGGCAACCTCCTAAGGGAGGACAAGCAGACACCATTATAACCCTTCTATAGAGGAGACGGAGATCTCACCCAACACAGTTAGTTGGTCAGGGCCGAAGGAAAGTGATGAACAGGGACACTTTCGGGAGGACAGGACATGGCAGGTAGCGTTCTGAAGCATGAGTAGGAGTTTGGGGAACGTGTGACTCAAGTCACAAAGGAAGCCTACTGATGAGCTGCTGACCGAGGGAACAGGTGGGCCTGGGATCCGGTTAGAACCAGAACTTGAGCATGGCAGGCTCAGCAGCGGTGAGAGTGAGCCACCCGCCCCCTGCAGACCAGCCGGCGGAGGTGGAGCTTCCCAGGCTGCCCACCGAGGACACGCGGCCCATGTCCCGGATCAGTGCCCTGCGCGGGCCCCGCCCCTCCAGCCTCCCCACAACTGCCGTCCCCCGCTTCGGGGTCCAGACCGATCAGGAGGCGCAGCTGGCTAAGGTCGGTCTCCCCAGAGTTGCGGGCATCAGTTTACCTCCCTGGACACTGGGCAGCCAGCGACAGTGGAGCCGCTGACGCTGCCTGGTCACTCGTAGGAACTTGAAGACACCAACAAGTGGGGACTTGATGTGTTCAAAGTGGCTGAGCTGAGCGGGAACCGGCCGCTCACAGCCGTCATGTTCAGCGTCTTCCAGGTGCCTCCCCGGGACGTTCGGTCCTCAGTTCTTCCCTGAAGCACGAGTGGGGCCGTTTAAACGGGGCGTTGAAGGACGAATAGGAATTTACTGGGCTTAATGGCTATTTTAGTCAAGGCACAGCGCTGTCTGGCCCTGAAAAGACCTAGATCGGAACAACGGGTTCCCGATCCGTGTTGGGGGACAAAGATTTATGGGACATAGGAGGATGGGGTGAGCTGAGCTGGAGCACAAAGCCAAGGCCCTGAGCGGAGTCTGTGTTACACCAGGAAAGGGACCTCCTCAAGACGTTCCAGATTCCGGCGGACACGCTGCTGACGTTCCTGCTCACGCTGGAGGCTCACTACCACGCTGACGTGGCATACCACAACAGTGTGCATGCTGCGGACGTGGCCCAGTCTGTGCACGTGTTGCTGGGCACCCCTGCCCTGGAGGTATCATGCCCGGCTGAGGACAGTGGGTGAGCACAGGGGAGAGTGCCACCCTCAGCCCTGACGCCCCGGACCTGCCCAGGCTGTGTTCACAGATCTGGAAGTCTTGGCGGCTATCTTTGCATGCGCTATCCACGACGTGGACCACCCGGGCGTCTCCAATCAGTTTCTCATCAACACCAGTGAGTGAGGTGACCATAGACAGCTGCTCAAGACAGCCCGGGCCACCCTAGCGCGCAGACTCAGAGGCGTGTCCGGGGCTTGGATGGCTTTCTGTATGAAGGGGCATTAGAGTTTGGGCTTCACCGCGTCCTTAGGAGTTGACTAGTGGCGTCCCCACCCCAGCTGTCTTTGGGTGGAGTGGGGTCCCGAGGCCTTGGCTGTTCCCATAGACTCGGAGCTGGCGCTGATGTACAATGACATGTCGGTGTTGGAGAACCATCACCTGGCGGTGGGCTTCAAGCTCTTGCAGGCAGAAAACTGCGACATCTTCCGGAACCTCAGCGCCAAGCAGAGACTGAGTCTGCGCAGGATGGTCATAGACATGGTGATGTCACGGCTCGGGGCGTGGCCTCTTTCGCACAGCGTGCTGATAGGCACGGGTTCACGCTGGCCTACTTGGTTTTATCCTACTTGGTGGGTAGTCGGGCTCGGGCTTTCTTATCTCCTCTATAAATTCAACAGGCTTTATTAGGCGCCTGTTGTGTACGTCTCCCGAGGATTTTCCTTTGTTATTGTTTATATTTTTGGAATTCATGATCCCCCTGCCTCCACTTCTGTGCCCACAGAAAGGTGGCTTCAGCTGACAGCTGTGCCAGGGTGTCTCTTGGGTCTGACGGTCCCGGGGCCAGTGTCCCTGGCCTGGGTGACCCCCCCCCGCGTGTGTCTGTGGGCACACCCCTGGTGGCCCCAGAGTTTTAGAGCCCAGATTGGATCCTGCCTCAGCTCTCAACCCAGCCACAGCTTTGCTCCGTGCTCCGCTGCGCACAGCGCACTTCTCAGCCTCCTGCACGGGGGACACTGAGGAACGGAGGTCTCAGAAGTGCAGCATCCACTACTTCATGTGCCCCAGGTGCTGGCCACAGACATGTCTAAACACATGAGCCTCCTGGCCGAGCTCAAGACCATGGTGGAGATGAAGAAAGTGACCAGCCTCGGGGTCCTGCTCCTGGACAACTACTCCGATCGTATCCAGGTGTGGGAGCGGGCCAGAGCCTCAGTTTCCCCTTTAGTTTCTGAGACAGTCTCACTCTGTAACCCAGGCAGCCTGGGAACTCGCCATCCTCACCATCTTCTTGCATCGGCCTCCTGAGTGCTGGGATTAAATGCACACACGCACACATGTGCACACACATGCACAAATGCACACGCACACACACATGCACACGCACACATACATGCACAGACATATATGCACACACATGTGTGCACACACGCACGCACGCACACACATCCATTTTCTAATTGGTGCATTTATGAAGCACTAACTGTTTACATTGCTGGAACTACCTGGTGTGATGCCTGTGTCTTAGCCACTCCTCCCAGGCCTCAGTTTTCCCACCTGGAAGATGGATGCCCTGGGCACTGATTTTAGGGATATAGTGAGGTGGGGGTGTGGCCAGGCCCTCTTGAGCCCCCACCCTACCCTCTGCAGGTTCTACAGAGCCTGGTGCACTGCGCCGACCTCAGCAACCCCACCAAACCGCTGCCGCTCTACCGCCAGTGGACTGATCGCATCATGGCCGAGTTTTTCCAGCAGGGTGACCGTGAACGCGAGTTGGGCCTGGACATCAGCCCCATGTGTGACAAGCACACTGCCTCTGTGGAGAAGTCCCAGGTGTGTGTGCTGGGGTTTCGCCCAGCTGGGGTGTGGGAGACGGGGAGACCTGGTTGACTGTGACCCCATGACTGTCCTTGCCTGATGGGGTCTGTGCTCCACCACTGGGTGGACAGGGATTCTCTGTGTAGCCCTGACTGTCCCAGAACTCACTCTGTAGACAGGATGGCCTTGAACACAGATCTGCCTGCCTCTGCCTCCCGAGTGCTTGGATAAGGCATATGCCACCATCACCTGGCTAGGGCAGATTCTAGATTTGGTGTTTTGAAGACAGCCTGGCATAGAACTCACTGGCTTGAGATCAGCCTGCCCCAGTTTCCTGAGTGTTGGACCAGAATAAGTTCTCTCAAGAGGGTTTTGAAGGAACACTAGGAGTTGGGCAATGAGTGGTCCAGGCAGAGGACACCATGCAGGTGACTGTGAGACTGGGCTGATACTGGGGTTCACTGAGACTCACCTGCCCCTTCTGCGGTCACCCTAAGGTGGGATTCATTGACTACATCGCCCATCCGCTGTGGGAAACATGGGCTGACCTGGTGCACCCTGATGCTCAGGAGCTGTTGGATACTTTGGAAGACAACAGAGAGTGGTATCAGAGTCGGATACCATGCAGCCCCACTCACACCGTGGGCCAAGAGCGCTGTGGTCCTGACAGGTTCCAGTTTGAGCTAACGCTGGAGGAGGCTGAGGAGGAGGAGGAGGAAGGACTGGCTCAGCACTGAGCATCCAGTCCTCAGAGTCACCCAGCACTTAGCCTCTGTCCTCCAAGACCAGCCCGGAGCACAGGGTAGACCCGACAAGATTTTGGGCTAGCCTAGCATGGACCATGAAGTCACAGTCACGCCCTTTGGGCGCCTATTGATACTGGTGACTTCTGAAGTGATTTCTGCCGTGTCAGCTTCTCTTTTCACCTGTCAAAGTGCACAGCCGAAATTTACACATAGACAAATCTTGGGTTCCATTTGGAAGCCTGTGGCTGGGGTCCACTCTGACCTCAGGCTTGGCTGGAATGGGATTGGCATCTGGGTGGCGCCTCCTCTTGCCTCTCTGTCCCGCTTCTGTCGGCTTTGGTTGGCTTCGGTCTGCTAGGGCTGGGGCTCTCTGTGGTTTCCGTTTGTTTGTTTAGCTTCTTTTTGACGCTGAAGATGGAAACCTGGGGTCCCACGTGCTCTGTGAGCAGAGTGGCCCTAGCCCCAACATCACTATTTGCGTCCTTTGATGTCAATAGGTGTCCGGCCTCCAACCGTCCAATCACAGACCTTTACTGATTCTCCCCAGGGAGAATCCCTTTGTAAATAGAGACAGGGAGCAGCCCCCACTGAAGTCTAGTGTCTTCTGACGCCAGAGACTGCAAGACTCTTCGTGGATACTGAGAGGCAGGTGGCCCTCTGAGAAGAACCCGCAGGCCTCCGACTCCCTATGGTTTGTTCACACAGCCATTGATACAGCTGGTAGGGGTCCCCCCTGTAGTAACCTGGGGATCAAACCAGTGTGGAGGGTCTCAGCATACTCAACTGTGGGTCCCCAGAGTCAGGAGGAGGAGGGGGAGGGTACTATGCGAGTACAAGAGAGCTGGGGCGTGGCTCTGGGGTGGAGCCCCTGCCTAGAATCCTCCAGTGAGGGGCTGGGGGCTTGGCTCTGGCTTAGTACAGCTTTAGCGTGTGGGAAGACCTTAGTTTCAGTTCCAGCACTGTAAACATAGAATAGACCTTGTCAGGGAAACTGAGTCACAAGCCACCCCTCATGCCTTCTCACAGCTTCCGTACACAGAATGGGCGCTGAACGCGGGCGTCTTCTGGGTACTGTATGACTACCGTGTAACTGCTTCCCTGTTTACCGTTATTTTCTGGCTTTTAAGGGCGCCTGCTGCCTGTTCTGACGTCCAGCTCTATGAGCAGAGGACAACGAAGTGACTTTTTTGCTTCTGCCTCCCAAGTGCTTGGCTGGGGTGACAGGCATGCGTCACAGGGCCTTCCCCCTTCCCTGTTCCCTCTGGGAAGGTGCCAGGGTGGCAGGGCAGACCAGGGAGCCGGGGGCAGCCCAGGGTGGCAGGCGACTTCCTCTGTAGACATCATGCCTCCAGCTCTTTGTCCCCCGGGGGTACAGAAAGCCCTCTGGGGTCACACATGGAAGGCTTCCTCCTCCAGATGTTTTAGGGGCTACCCTTAGAGATTTCCTGTTAAACAAAGTAGTATGTGTTCTCTGAGGGGGAATTTGGAAATCACACAAAAGTATAAATAAAATAAATTATTGGGCCAGCAAGAAGGTTCAGCAAGCCAAGACATTTGCTCCCAAGCCCCACGATGTGAGCTCAGTCCCCAGGACTCTGTGGTGAAAGAGAGAACCAGCTTCCGCAGGGTGTCCTCTGACCCCCCAGCTTCCGCAGGGTGTCCTCTGACCCCCCAGATTCCGCAGGGTGTCCTCTGACCCCCCAGCTTCCGCAGGGTTCCTCTGACCCCCCAGATTCCACAGGGTGTCCTCTGACCCCCCAGATTCCGCAGGGTGTCCTCTGACCCCCCAGCTTCCGCAGGGTGTCCTCTGACCCCCCCAGCTTCCGGAGGGTGTCGTTTGACACCGCCCCCTGTGTCCCGCAAATAAATGAATGTAACTTAAAAGATGTGATAGCCTAGGCGGTGGTGGCTCACGCCTTTAATCCCAGCTCTCAGGTGGCAGAGACAGACAGATTTCTGAGTTCGAAGCCAGCCTGGTCTACAGAGTGAGTTCCAGGACAGCCAGGACTACACAGAGAAACCCTATCTTCAAAAACAAAAAATACTCACGCTGTTTCCCTCTGCCTGTCCTTTCATTTTCCATTTCACACACACTCACACACACTGACACACTCACACATTCACACACACACTCATACACACACTCACACACACTCACACACACACTCACACACACACTCACACACACACTCACACACATTCACACACACACTCACCACACACACTCACACACACACTCACCACACACACACACTCACACACACACTCACCACACACACACACTCACACACACACTCACCACACACACACACTCATACACACACTCACACACATTCACACACACACTCACCACACACACTCACACACACACTCACACACATTCACACACACACTCACCACACACACTCACACACACACTCACCACACACACACACTCACACACACACTCACCACACACACACACTCACACACACTCACCACACACACACACTCACACACACACTCACCACACACACACACTCACACACACTCACCACACACACACACTCACACACACACTCACCACACACACACACTCACACACACACCACACACACACTCATTCACACACACACTCACACACACTCACCACACACACACTCACACACACATTCACACACACACACTCACCACACACACACTCACACACACTCATACACACACACACTCACACACACTCATACACACACACACTCACCACACACACACTCACCACACACACACTCACACACACTCATACACACACACACACACACACACACGTGCGTGTTTTTGAGGCAGGCTCTCTGTAACCCTGGGCTGTCCTGGAGCTCACTTTGTAAGATCTGCCTCCTCTGCCTCCCAAGTGAGGCCGGCATTAACGGTTTCTGCCACCATGCCTGGCTGTTTTCAATGTCTTGATATGAGACAGTCTCACTTTAGCGGTCCAGGATGATGAACTCACGATCCTCCTCAGCCAAATCGTGTCATCTTGCCACCAAGTGATCTACAAGCGCTCTAGTCCCTGAGCCTCCGCCCTATCTTTATTTTGAAATAAAAGGCAGTAAAGGCAGCTCCTCCCCAGAGTTCATCTCTTGGGAATAAATCCAAGTCTGCCTAAGGGGCGCCCCAAGCTTTTCCCTGCACCCTCCATCCTCAAACCCGTGCCTAGTCCCCACTCTAACCCCCGTTGTTATGGTCATTTTGTGTCTGTGGTTCTGCATCCCTCTGCTGCCTGGTGCGGGTGGGGAAGCAGAGAGAAACAAGCTGCTCACGTGGCCCCAGAGCGGGCAGAGCTTCGCAGGCTCCTTGCGGGGGTGACTGAGCATCCAGGCGACTAGTTATTCTGGTCCCTAGGCGCCTCCGGCGCCTCCGCAGCTGGCGGCGCGGTCTAAAACAGGGCCAGACCGCGTCCCCAGTTCTGCTTCCTGCGTGATGAAAGCGATGCGGACCATCCAGGGCCGAATGCGGAGGGACAACAAGGCACCCAGGCTGGGTCCCCTGCTGCTCGCCCCAGATTCCCACCTTGGCCGGAAGATTTGCAGGCATGCCTTGTGTTGCGTCATAGTCCGGAAGTCTGCATTTCTCCTCCCAGCTTCCCAGCACACAGGATCGCCTGAACCCCAGTGACCACACCGTGAAGGGCGTGGGGTGGCCAGTGTGAAGTGTCCACACCGTGAAAGACTTAGGGTGGCCTCTCTGAACTGTCTTTGCTTCCTGGGTCTTCTATTGCAATTTTGGGACTCGGGGTCAGGACCCTTCTGAACCCTAAATGCTCAGGGAAGCAAGGGGTTCTCAGGGGACCCATCGGTCCATTTTTTCCTTTGTGCAGAATCTGACTTTCTTATTTCGTTGAGACAGGGTTTACTGAAGCCCAAACTGGCCTCAAGACACTGTGTAGCTGAGGGTTCCTCTCCCCTCTGCCAGGTCTGAGAAGACAGTGAGACATCACCCCGTTATACTGTGCTTGGGATCAAACCCAGAGCTTTGTGCTGCTATGCAGGCTTCCCACCAAACTGAGAAATATCCTATGCCCATTAAAAAAGAGACTTATGCTGGGCTGTGGTGGTGCATGCCTTTAATTCTCACACTCAGGAGGCCAGAAACAGATCTCTTTGAGGCCAGCCTGGTCTACAAAGAGAGTCCCAGAACAGCTAAGGCTACATAGAGAAACCCTGTCTTGAAAATACAGAGAGAGATAGAGAGGCTGGGGGAGGAGAGAATATTTTTATTTTATGTGTGTGTAAGGGCGTTTTGCTTGCTTGTATATGTGTGCACACACAAGCATACCTGGAGCCATCTCTCCATCCCCGTCCAGCCCATTACATTTTTAATCTAGAGAGGATCTTATTGTAGCCCAGGTTCCCCTTTGTGAAGAGTGTTATCACTTCCTTCACCCAGCGCATTGGTAAAACGTCTACCCACCTCAAAGGCAGGCACTTCGGGGTTCAAACCCTGGTGACATGTTGCAGCGTGGTCACATGATCTACGTATGACGCAGCTATGGCAGCCCCTGTTCACATGCGCTCGGCAGCCTTTAAAAGCTGGACACACCTGCTCCATTCTCTTTCTGCACACACGCCCTCAGGCCTGCACACGTGTCTTAATAAACTCTTCAAGTGGACTCCGTTGTGTGTCTTGTGACCCCTTCTCTCTTGTGCCCGGTAACTTCATTGGTGCCTTCAGTATGGACTTGTTGAAGGCCTCCCATCTTCCCCAAGGCTATAGGAATTATTCACTGCCGGTCTCGGCAGACTGACAGCCCCCAAGGGAAATAACCGAACTGACAAAGCATCCAGGACAGCTGCACCCCAGAGCCCAAACCTACCTCAGTCACCTCGGGTTCATACAGTACAGCCCGCATTCTCACAGACACCCCCGACACTTGGCAAACTCTGTCCGACCTACATCAGCTCTTCCGTCCTAATAGCCAAGCTCTGTCTCACTTTGTCAAGGCTCACCTCCAGCCCACCCCCAAGGACTTAGAGTTCTTAAAAGCTATCACTGCCTTTTGTAAAATCTGTTAAAAGCCAGATCCCAAGTCCAGATATCGTAGCTTCCCTTTTCCCACCCCTCAGGCCAGGGGCTCCCTTCTGGGGACTGATTGGCAGCTGGATTTTACTCACATGCCCACCCCACAGTCAGATGGGTTAAATATCTCCTGTTTTGGGGACACCATGTCTGGGTGGATTGAAGCATTTCCCACCACTAATAAGAGGGCCCAGACAGTTTCTCATCTCCTTCTCCTGGAAATTATCCCCCGGTTTGGAATCCCAACCTCTCTTCAGTCAGATAAGGGTCCAGAGATTTTTCATGTCCTGTATCATCCCCAGTCTGCAGGGAAGGTAGAACTAACTGTTCCCTAAACAATCCTCTTGTTAAGATGTCACAGGAGCTTCACCTTGACTGGACAAAGCTTTTGCCTTTGGCTCTGTTCAGGCTGTGGGCCCTCCCCAAAAGCCCCCTTTCCATCTCGCCCTTTGAACTCCCGACCTCTCACCTGAACCCTCACCCATCCCTGATCACCTTCGCTCCCTCTATGGGACTTTACTGAGTACTCACTACCTCAGCCATGTGTCAACCCCTGTCCATCTCCAGTTAACATCAGGGACCAGACCAATGCCCCTCAGCCCTTCCCCTAAATGGCAGGGTCCCTTTAAAGTAATTCTTGTAACTCCCACAGCTGCCAAGCTTGAGGGCGTTCCTCACTGGATTTACCTATCTCATCTCAAATATTTTACTCCTCCAGCCCAGGACACTCTCCTTGAACATGGTAACTCAAATAGAGCCCTGTTCCCTTAAGTTCCAGAGGACACCAAGATCAGCTACTTTGTCTCCAGTTCCAGAAGAATAAAGTCTCACCACCGTACTCACCTCTCCTGTACCAGGAACGCCATATGCTTGCTCCTTCCCGATTCTCCTCTTTTCTTCCTTCTCCTGTCTGCTTTACCAATTTCTCTGTATTTCCAATGTCATACTCAAATTTCCAGTTAACCATTCAGCTGTTGCTACAGGGACCATCATAAACCACAGAACTGGAGGTGCAAAGACTGTCAGATGCCCAGGTGGTAAGAAACAATAACAGTCTGGGGCCTTTCATGGCTCCAGACTCAAAGGGAGACTCAGGAAACAGACTTTAACATAGCAGGTTTATCACTGACTGCAGCAGTGTCTCCTGGATGCTAAAGAGAACAAATGTCTTAAGATTTGCTTCAGGTAAAGCATTAAAAGGTCTAATAATTCCCTTTCTTCCCTCCTCCCCACTATACAACTATCCACAATCTTCTATTCCAACACTATACCATAAGCTTTTAATGTGTCTAAAATTTATCTTTTTATAAATTTAAATATTCTCATAAGCTCCAGAGAGCCAAACTGGACCCACTTAAACAGACCAGACTCACCCAGGATAAGTATCATTTAATTCTTCCCTGGCCTCGGGATCCCTGGGAAACTCCCTCCTCTATCTCAGGAACCCTGAAACACCCCCTCCATCTTTCATCTTGGGACCCTCCTCCCTCAGTCACCAGGATCTAAAATTTTTTATGTAATCTTCTGTCTTGCCAGCATCTCATCAGGTCCAAACTGCCAGCTGGACAGTTCCCCAGAGCCTGGAAAATACTGAAGTAACCAGCTACCCCAGGATGTGGCCAAGCACCCCAACTCTCCAGACACCCACAGCCAGCAAGAAGTAGCCTCCAAGACCCCACGCCCCATTTCCACCAATTGGCCACCCCTAGCCCCCCAGATTTTTA